AGACGACGAGAGTCTATGGAAGCATTTTAAATAATAAAAAAGGAATGAATTTTAAAAAATGTATAATTTTCTTTCTTTTTTTTAACTCAAGTTACCTTAAGTTAAATAAAATGGAATAAGGGGCTAACTTGACACTCTTATATTATCCTATATATAGGATATACATAGAGGGAGAGAAAGAGAGAGATAATAAACTAATTATTATTTGTGGTTTGTTAAATGATCTTTCAGTTTGCTTATTGATCTTTCATCCATATCTCCATCCTACAGATTCCCATGTGTACCGGAAACATTCTACAAAACTTTGACCCATGATATCTCGGGGCTTCGGAGGTCAGCACTGTACCCTCACAACAAGAAGGTCCTTGATTCAGTTCCACCAGCTCAATGAGGCCTTTTTGTATGAAGTTTCCTGTGAATGATGTGTTCTCTCTCGATACTCTGGCTTCCTCCCACAGTCAAAGACATACTTGTTAGATTACATCATTTTTCTAAATTGGCTTTAGGCATGAATTGTTGTCTGTCTCTATGTGTTAGCTCTGTGACAGACTGGGTTCAGGGTGTGCTTTGCCTCTTGCCTTGTCTCAGCTTAGATAGGCTCCAGCCCCACGGTTACCCTGATAAGTAGAAGAAAGTGGACAAATGCATGCATGGAAATATTCTCATGGGAAAAAGATTTAGAGATCATCCATGAGAACACTGTAATTTATAACCACTTCCTTGTATTTCTTTATTGGTCTCTCTCTCTACCTAGTTTAAGCTGCAATTTCTATTGCATAATTATCATTATATGTCCATAAATTCAATTCTGAAGATCTACAAGAAAAAACATTCTATCACTCAATTTTTTCCTTTGTTTTAGTATATAAAAAGAAACTAGCACAATGCTTGTTTCAGAAGGCAGGACAGAGGGACGTGTAGGAAAGACCGCCCCTGGGGTCAGCCAAATGTATCAACCATTTAGCAACTGTCCCAATCTAAAAAGGAAACAATGTAAGCCTCTGTATGTCTGATGCTTTGGCCATGACATTTAACTACATAATAAAAATCACAATAAGCAATTGATGTCAGCCTACATCATCATCAGTAAACCAAGTTATCTCAGTGCCAGTCTTCTTGCTTCAAATACCTTTATTATGAAGCATATATAATGAAAAATATAGAACCTTTCAGTTGAAATTAATGTTTCAGTTTTTAACTGGACAGTCTATGAACAATTGTTTAACAAAGTCCCCACATCACTGCCCCCCACACCCCTCCCTATCAACTCAAATCCTCAAGCTGCATTAAAGGCAGTGAAGTTTTGTTCTCTTTATATTAAAGATGCTAAATCTGTTCAAAGTCCTCCAGTCTGTTTTCTCACTGTTGCTATCCTGATGTTAAAAATTGGAACATCATTTTTTCCCAGAAGAAAAGCATAAGGTTTTTTGCACAGAGGAGGCCATAAGACAGGAGGTGATGATCAGAAGAGGATTCAGTCTTATTTGGCTTTTAAAATCTTTGAAAACAAGGAAAATATTCCCAGTCAAAAGTCCTCACATTTGGCACATGTGATGCAGCAATGAAACAGATTTGCCTCTGATTTATTTATTTATCACATATAGGTGATTCTATTCAACTTCACTTTTAAATAGACTTTTAAAATGTTCAACTTTAACTTTAGTCATATCTTAACATTATCTAGCCCCCTTTCTCTTCCCAGCTCTCTTTCAGTCTTTTTGAGACCATCCATATTTATCTGTCTCACTGCTTTTTCTAAATTATTAAGCTATGGCTTTACTGAGTGTCTGACCTTCCGATGTCTATAGAAATCTGGCTTTGGCAAGCTGTTTTTCTCTTGAAGCTGCAGGATGACTGCAAACACACCTTGGTTATACAGGCTCCATCCATCACTGAAGGTTTTGAGACAAATAGGATAACATTGCAATAGTGCCAAGAGAGTGTGATTGCCAATCCTTTTTCTTTGTGTCCAACCAGGTGGTGACTCTCTAGCCAGTAGGAGATACTTGTTAACTTATAACACACAAAGTCTCGTAGAGCCAGCCTTCCACTTGTTTTGCACTTACACAGGCGACTCTTTTATATCCTTTGAGTTTTGTAATTCCAAATAAATGAAAGAATTATAACATTCAACTAAGATGAATTGCTAAGTTTTGAAAAACGTATAACAATTGAGGGAGGCAAATCATTTTAACTGTAATTAATCTACCAATTAAGGAAATTGGGAGTGTTATGCAGAATTCATTCCACTTTGGTCTTGAACTTCTCCAATACGGCACCAGAATTTTAATCGCTGGCTCTCTTCTATAGTGTCTTTTATTCTGTCTTTCTCCCATCACCCCCAGCCTGTTGTCCCAGATAGCCGTCCATCCAGCCAGGTTCTGCTGGAGGTTTCTTCCTGTTATTGGGGTGTTTTTCATTGCCACTGTTGCCAAGTACTTGCTCAGAGGGGGTCTTTTGATAGTTTGGGTTTTCTATCTATTACAATATAAATATATTCAATACATGTTGTTTTGAGGCGATTGCTCTAGTGATTTGTTGACATATAAATAAAAATGAATTGTATTACACTGACTTAAATGTGTTAGGTGTAACAAACCTTTTGCCCAAAGGCTTGGAAAACAGGGTCGGAAAAGAACAGATGACTGCACAGATGCTTCTCCTGAAAGACTTTTACTGATAGTTTTTTGCAGCCACTTCAGCCCCTTGTCTCGGTAGCATACTCTAAAGCTCCAGTAAAGTTAACTCCATACAAGACACTGTGTCACCTGATGAAGGGAGATATCATACATCTATTAAGGCTAGAATTTTTGTTTGACTTTCGTTTGCCAGTCTTGGGTATATTTAAGAACTTTACTGCCATTTGGAGTACAGCATATTCCACTTAAACACAGGGTGGCTGTAGCTCGGGAGGTAGAGCAGGTCATCTACTGATTAGAAGGTTAGTGGTTCAATCCCTGGCTCCCCCAGTCTGCATGCCAAGTATCCTTGGATGAGATGCTCTCCAGTGCATCCGTTGCAGTGTAAATGTTAGTTAGTAAGAACTTAAACGCATAGAAGGAAGTGAATGTAGCATGCTGTATGAAGAAAAGCGCTCTATAAGAATCAGTCTGTTTACTTGCATATAGCAAGAAGAATATACAGTAGAAGTAGTTTATAATTTGGAAACAAAGTTTCTATTATATGCTGGGTGCATATTCATATTTCATGCTTAATTGAAGTAGTAAAATTAAAGAAACATGACAAAGGTTAAAGTATTAGCTAGTGAGATGTAGTATTTAGGTGTGTGGGATACATATTTAATCAATATTTCATATTTTATGATACTCGTCTCATTAGTGTGAATTAGCACACACTAATCAGTTAAGACAAAGTGTATGAGGATACAGAAAGATTGCACAAAGCTTCTGTACATTTACTACAATCTTCAAGTCTATCTTACTTTTTTCCCCTCCTGCAGCCTGAGACGGGTAGAATAAGGAATGTTAAGGACACTTTAAAAAGAAACCTTTCACTGCATCTGATGCAGATCTGTAGACTTGTATCTACTATGTTAATTGTTTGTCATTATATTAAACATGTTTTTAATCGATATGACTGTTTTTCACAAACAATACATTGTTGGAGACACCCATGCACACTCTACTGTGGACACAGGGGGACAAAGGGCTCTGTGGAGTTCTAACATACTCGTGGTAACAACTACATGTGAATAGCACAGGTCTGCAACCAAAAAACTGCATAGGACTTTTTGACTGTTTCACTGAAAACAAGAAAAATATTTTTAAAATTCCATCACGTCAGATTTTCTTGCAAAACTCAGGTTTTTAGTTTAATTAAGCGTACAATTTCCCCTTTTAAACTGAAATCTGGTATCCTATACTTGAGTCAAAAAACCATATCCAATACTGATTTCTTACATTAATTTAATATTTCTAAGTGTGAGACTCAAAGGAAATAAAGCGAAAGGAGGAGAGAAAGTTTTCTCAGACAAAAAGAGTGAACATGTAGTGTTAAATATATCATGAAGGAATTGTTTTTTGTTTCTTTGTTCAATTATAAGAAAGATTATGCATGGTTAATTGTAATAAAATATTGACTTTTTTTTCATCGCTGTTGTGCTTTTTTATTGTAAACTCCTCATGTTTTGCAAAAAAAAAAAAAAAAAAAAGGTTTTTTTTGCAGACCTGTATAATCATTGAAAAACATATAGTTATTATTAAACCCTTTACTCCCCGGAGGTACTTGTACCAAATCAGGCCACATCACCAAAACTTTCACCAGAGCTGGTTTTAAAAGGTTACAAATTCTCTCCATGTTCACGGGACTTAAATAGATGTAACATTAAATTCTGTTACAAAGTCAGGAGAGCTGCAGTTGAAAAGTTTCAGAAAACTTCCAATAATACAAGTGTTTACTTGACATGTTGCAAAACTTCATTTTATTTAGTTAATTTCCCTTTACACAGAAATTTCAATTTGGAATAATCAGGTAGTCTAAATGAAAGAAACCACTACGATTTTAGCTAACGTCAGCACTAATTGCCTCCTTTCCTAATTAGTTTACACATTGCTCAGATCGAAATGTCAGTTTTTTCTCACGTAGCCTACGTACAACTGTCTGTGTTCTAGAACAAAACACTGAGATAACTTTATGAGATAACTCTCACCACCACTATCTAAAAAAGTGGAAATCTATTTATAGTTCCCAAAATATTCATGGCTGCCGACTCCTTCTCAGCCTGGAAAACTCCCATTTAATCATATAAGAGACAAATGGATGAATAATTTAAGTCAAACGAGGGGGAATTATTTCTGCAATGTAATGATCAGAGGAATGAAATCAAACAAAAGCAAGGGAAAATCCCTCTCACCTCTCATTCAACTCATGTCTGTGGCCAAACATCAAACAAATGTGAACCCATTCAGGTCAGTGAAATCCTGGATTTAGCTTGGTGTCAACTGACTGATGTCTCAATTTCACTGTAATCACTATCTTACCAGCATATTCCGGGTCCACATGAGGAGGGTAGAAGCGAAAGTTGATGAAGAAAGGGATGGGCATTCCATACTTGAACCACTCCACCACATAGGGCTGGCCGTTCAAGGGATGGGAAACGTCGCATCCCAGGATGACGTTTTCTCCTGCACGTGCTGTCACAAACTGGGGCTCCTCTCGCACTCCGTGGGCACCTGTGGAAACAGTAACAGGTAACAGTTACAGGTAAGAATCCAGCTTACACACCGACAGAGTGTAAAGTTCCACTTTGGAATTAGATCCACGATCTGAGAACTTTTTATATGTGGAGTTTGTATGTTTTCCCTGTGTCTGCATGGGTACTACAGCCTCCTCCCACAGTCCAAGGAAATGCCCTTAGTGGAGTCGCGTTACCTGATGATTATAAATTGTTCAAAGGTGTGAATGGTTAGCTATCTCTTTATTAGCTCTGCTATAGACTAGTGAACTGTCTAGGGATCTGTAATGGTCCGTGAGTCATTTGGTACCAGGCCGTGAGAGTTGAGGCTCAGGTGTGAAATGTATGGTTTTTATCGTTAACTCGGTTTCCCTGGGTCTTTTCCCGTGTTGTACTCATGTCTCTTATTTTGAAAGAAATATTTACATGTTACCATAGCGATCAGAGAGCATTAAGGGCCAGAGAGGAGGACGTTACTCTCAATGTTGTTGGCGCATTTCAGGAGGACGCTGCTAATAAAGTTACACGATTACACAGTAAAGACGCATTTATTATTATATTTACAAAATACCACCGTTTTTGTCTCAGTCATATCATTTTATTTTGTTGTATTTATCCGTGACACCTTAAAGGCCAGTCTGTGAAAATGTTGCCTGACATCAAACCGGTCTGTGGTGCAAAAAAGGTTGTGGACTGCTGGTCTAGGGTGTACCCTGCCTTTCTCCACTATGGCACCATTGATAGGTTCCAAGATGGATATTAACATGTCCATGTGATAGCTGTTGGCATATAAATCAACAAAGATTTCTACACTTGTCTCTAAAACAACAGGTCAGGCTGTATGTGTTTCAGTTGTTTAGTTATTGTAGCCTTTTATATACCTTCTTGTTTTTCAGTTTATTAGACACTTTAACTCCTCATACTTGCCCTTTAGCCAGATAAGGAAAAAAACAGTCATTGATATACTGAGCTTTCTTCATACTACAGGCCCCAGATCATTTATAAAACATAGTCTACCTGCACACTATTTGTCACAACAATGTAACAGCCCAAAACTTATGCAAGTGTTACAGCTCAGGCAGCCATGGCAGTTAGATGCTCAGTAGCTGTCATGGCTCTAGTAGTATCTATTAGACTTTAGTTTTTTTCTGCTATCAACATTGTTCCTTGATATAGTTGTTTATAGTAGTATTTTTTTCCCCATATGTTCTGTGCTTAACTCTAGTTTTCTGTTATTTTGAATGGTCCTGTTTTGGTTCTAATACAACTGTTCGTTTAAAAAAAAAAAAAAAAAAAAAATGTCGCTCCGCTCCATAATAGGCTAATGATGATCTGTCTCAACCAGCTCATTTGACTGACAAAGTTCTCAATCTGGAGGCTATCGTGACATCAGCCAGTTTGAAGTAAACAACAAAGGTGCCTGCTAAGCTCATTCCAGTGGTTTAACAGAAACGCCACGACAGAGATGGTTGAGATTAGCAAGAAATGTAGCAAAAAGCTGTTTAGAAACAGAGTTCCACCCAGGAAGTGAGTGTTTTTGTGTGATAACACAAACCTGGGCTCAGCTAAAAATTCCATCACTCGAGATGCAAAGACCACCGGTGACAAATCCAATACACAACCAAGGCCACTGGGTGGTTGATAACAGCAAGATTAACAGCGCTTTCAGACACATGAATGTGATTTATCTTGTGAGAATCTTTTTCAACTGACAGAATGTGAACAGACAAAAACATGAAAGAGGTGATGTGACAGTAATGTCCCTGATGCTCGATAATGCCCGGTCCTTTAAGGTTTTTCTTTAAGCATTCGCTCTGTTCACTCAGGACCGGAGCAGTCCGAGTCAGTCTGTGTGTCTGTGGGCTAGGCGCTCACATTGATCCCAGGCTAATTACCAAGTAGCTTGGTTTTATGAGCGGAAACCCGGTGTGGTAGCATTTTACCAGTCAATACAGCTAATCAGATGTACTCACTGCTCATTCCTCTGTGGCCAGTAAGGAAGCCGGGCAGGCAAACACAATCTACTGCGCACAGTTGATAGCCTGCTGCCCGTAGCGCTTCTAATTATTGAAATCAAACAGTGGAAGGCAATGTGAGCACATGGAACCAACAGGATTTTATCTACTATGTACAAATAATCAAGGGACAGCTCACTAGTGTTAGTACTGTATTCTGTAGAAAGACCTACTACAAATGTGAGTCAGCAAAAATATTTTCAGACACTGATAAAAAAAAAATGCAGTCACTGTTATTACTGTGAGCTGAAGCATCAACTGCTGAAATATTTAGAAACCAGTGATTTGGTGAGTGGATATACTGTCTCAACCTAAAGCTCAACCTGGTCCCACACCAGCACTATTCATTTTTTAGTTAATTTAAAAGTAGTCCTACAAAGGACTATAGTAAAGACTCTCTATATGTTGTAAATACCAAAGATTACAACTGATTATAACTGTGCTTTATCATCCATGTATTCGCTTCCGCTTATCCTTTTCAGGGTAGCAGGGGGTGCTGGAGCCTATCCCAGTTGTCATAGGGCAAGAGGCGGGGTACACCCTGGACAGGTCGCCAGTCTGTCGCAGGGCTAACACACAGGGAGGGACAACCATTCGCACTCACATTCACTCTAAATTGTGCATTCATACCTATGGGCAATTTAGATTTTTCAATTAACCTATCCCCACAAGCTGCATGTTTTTGGACTGTGGGAGGAAGCCGGAGTACCCGGAGGGAACCCACGCAAACACGGGGAGAACATGCAAACTCCACACAGAAAGACCCTGCTGACCTGATGGTGGAATTGAACTCAGGACCTTCTTGCTGTGAGGCAACAGTGTTAACCACTGTGCTGCCCTGTGCTTTATCATATTTACCTGAAACCATTCACCAATGTGTTTCATGCAGAGGTGCTGAGTATTTATCATGAAGTGCAAGTACTGTTAGTGGAAACAAGCAGAGAGTGAGCTGTATTTCCAGGCTAAAATTAAAATAATGAAGAAATAAATATCTCCACAAAGCTGTTCAATGCAGCACAATGTGGAATAATGTGGAAAAGGACACGTTGGCAAAAAAGTTTGACCTTCTGTTGCTTTCTTTGGGGGGAGAAAGATGTCACGATGGAAACAGAAGAAGAAATATGAACGTGTGAATCAGAAGCAGAATGATAACACATGAGCCCACCTCTCCTTCGACAGTGGTGCCGAGTGCAACAGTAAAGAAAAGGTCGGGGCAAACAGCTCGCAAAAAACACACAGATATTAAAAGGATGCTTTCTGCTTCAGCCCCATCATCAGACTGAAGACCTCTCTAGTTTGCAGTTACCAATATGTGTGTTTGTTGTGCAACACACCAAAACAAATCACATTGATCTAGTAATTGAATATTCATTCAAGACCAGCTATAAATTCTCAACAGCGTTAACCCAAATTAAGTCTTCAGCCAACAGCCTGAGCTTTCAAATGCATATTAAGGCTGGAGGAGGGAAGCACGCAAAGCTTCCACAGTCACCTTGAACTGAGGTCACTACGAAAAGCAATTAATTGTGTAAGTTTAGCACTGAACAGATGATATTTATCATATAATTAGACCTAATCGTTACTGTCAGACTAATGAAATATAAAACACAAAGTGAAATGTAAATCAACAAATATGAGGAGAGCTAGGCTTCCCTAAACAGCGTGGGGTATCTCATTGAGTGATTTATTACCAGGATAGGCCTTTCATTTCCCATAGAATGCATTAAATAACACATTCATGTGCTACATACAGAGTATCTTTATACAGCACGACTGAGAGGCAGTCAGTGTGTATCAGAAGCAGCCTGTGGATTCGTGGTTTGATGTGTGTTCTCATGCTTGTTGGAAGAACTGGCTAATAACTGAGCGAGTGTGATTTTCCTATTGGTGCACCCCACACCTCTGCAACCCCACCCCCTCGCTAACACACACACATCTGCACACGCACTACCTCTAGCAGTGCTATGTGTTGATTGGCTGCTGGTGACATCATCACAGATAGCACAAAACAGCCCCCTTGGAAGGTATGACTTCACTGTTTATAACTGATGAGACAGAGAGGAGCAAGAGACAGACAGTGAGTTAAATCCCCACCACCACCGTAAGGGTTTAGCTCATTTACAATCAAAGACCCAGGGGAGGATACTGTGGCAAGGTAAAACCACTGAGGTGTGCATACACATACATACACACAGCTCCAAGAGTGTAGGCAGGGTGGAACAAAAAGGGAGGGTTCAGGGTATTGTTGCCAGGAGGACTGTAACGCTTGAGTACAGTAAGTTGCTTCAAAGCCACAATCAGATTATAAAGTATAGTGTTTAATGAAGGGTGACACAACAAGTCAGCAAAGTGTACATGTTTATTCTAATCTCAAAGAACTCTGACGTTGACTGATCACTTACAAAGGTAAACTGTTTTGTTTTTTTATTTCAATGTGACTAAGGAAAATGTAGGTAGACTATGATTGGTACAAGGAGAGAGGTGGCTGATATGACGGGGAGAAGGAAGGTAGATATAGTGGGAAAGTAATCCCAGTATTATTGGAGATGGGTTCAAGCAGTTCTACCATGGTGTAGACAAGAAGAGAAATGGAGTAGGTGAATAGAGGGACAGACAGGATATTCAGTTTGAAGTTGGACAATAAAGTTATGATGCTTAATGTTGTCAGTGCATATGCCCCAGAGGTTGGACCTTGCTGAAGAGGAGGAGGACTTGTGGATGAAATGATAGTGTCTCCTTGAGGAGAGATTTCTGACTGGAGAAGATTTCAGTGGAGGTGTAGGTGAACAGAACCGGGGTGATAACGAGGTTCTGGAAAGGTATGGTGCTAAGAAGAGAAATGCAGAAGGCCAGACAGTAGTGGATTTCCCAAAAACAAAAAAAAAGGATTAAATGGCTGTGGTGAACACGTACTTCAAGAAGAGGAAGGAACAAAGGATGACTTATAAGAGTGGAGAAAGTTGCACACAGGTGGTGCACATTT